ATATATGTACGCGAAGCGAACCAAAACTCCACGCAATTGATGAACAAGCAATGTGCAATAACAGTTCTGATTGAAACTTACACATAATAATTGTAACAAGTTCACTATCTGAGAAATATTCGTTTTATAATCATAACTACGGTTGACACGCACTGAGTTGGCGACGCCAAGCGGTTAGTATGCGTAGAAGTCAGACAACCGGCAAGCACTCGTAGAGTAGTAAGTACGGTGTGTGTTGGTAGAATGGCGAAGCAAAGAATGACGATGAATCAGTGTTCTTATCTGCTTACAGCAAACTGATATTGTGATGACATTGTTATGATAGCTGGTCGATTTGGCGAACGGAACTGACGAGGGGCTGGTCAAGCATTACCGATGTGATTTGACCATAACTGCATGGTTGGATGAGCAAGATAAAATTGGTGCGACCGCGCGTGAACGAGGCCCAACGTGACTGTATACCATTTTACACGCATGTTAGCGCATTATACGAAGCTTTTAGCGTGGCACATTTCCGAAATCGCGTGCAGTGCTTTCAAGTTAGTGAGGTTTCCTTTAAATAGACATTAAAATAGAACAGAAGATGGTGCTCGGGCACTTTCATTGGACTGTCTGTCGCTTATGCTGTGGACTTCCAACGGGTGTTTCATTGGGTAACGTCCCATGATCAATGAGAGTGTCAACGAAGCCAAAACAGCGTTCTTAGCCTCGTTAACTTGAAAGCACTGCACGCGATTTCAAAAATGTGCCATGCTAAAAGCTTGGTACAAGGCGCTAACATGCGTGTAAAATGATATATATCTTTTCTCAGTCAATTACATACATCAAGCTTTCAAATTCCAACTTGAGGAATTCATGCTCCTTCATAGATCTCTCATGATGGTCCCCAACACTAACAACTTGTATCCAACGGGCGCAAACACCGTTTGTTAAGTGATCAGTCTCAAATCAGCCGAGAGTATAACAGGTGAACAGACAGAGTAGAATACTATTGGATGATTGGGGACTTGTCACTCAATGAATAGTAGCATTTAGGGTCGTTTGAGCCCGTTAGATGCAACTTGATAGCGTCAAAAACCATATTGAGAGACCAATGAAGAAACAAGATTTCCTTAAGGAGGAAATTGAAAGCGTAATGGATGCAAAAGACTGTGAAATGGTCTAGATAAAGTAGTTGTGGATTAGGGGTAGAAGCGACCAACCAACAGGCACAGACCCGATTGGACAGCAGCAGAAGGACAACAAAGACTAGTCAGTGAAATGACTTTGGCAGCACATTTCCAGATTCTGTCCAGGTTTTCCTAAAAAGCATACCGTGGAGAACATATAAGAGTCATTAGCAGTACGCCGGAACACCGTACAGACGTTTCACTGCCACGAAACCACCGGCAGTTGTGCGTGCGCGAGGGTCGCCCGGTTTCCTAAGTGGGCTCGGAGTCGCGACCTCCGGACTACAAGGCAAGCGTGTAATCCTTTCGGCCATGGGTCCGCATTAGTGTGCATTCAAGACAGACCAATCAGAGCGCACCCAGGGTCGAGCAGCGGAGTGCAGCATCTCCTATCCCCCCGCATTATCCGCTGGCATCATTAGTGCAAAAAGGAAAGAGTGGACGAATTTCGGTTTGGCACGATTTCTGCTGCGGTTACGCTACAAACTGGATGCCAGTTCAGAGTTATCTGTGGTATAAACCAAACTTTGACAGCAAAATTCCTATATTTGTCCAAATATTTCTACTCCTTAGGGGCTACCCGACTGAGTTTATCAGCAAACTTTATCTAACAGACTGGTTCCCAACAAATGTCAATGGTTGAGACATACGGCAACAGTTGGCGAAGTGGACAATCTGTTGAAGCAGGGTGAAATTGCGCAGTTGTATAGTAGCTTCTTTGGGGAAGGCAGCAGGCATCGAAATACTTCATTAGGGACAATACATTGTAGGAGGCTTTGAGTCACGTCCCGCAGCCTCCAGGAATCATGGTTGGTGACATTGTTGTGAGGGGTGGACGACACCATGCACCACGTGCCTGGATGGCTGCTAGCACAACGTCAAAGCGTGCACCACGCCGGAAGAACCCGGTTCAAACTGCGAGACCGCCAACCAGTGTACGGTCATGGTACATCACGTCACCTGGCGACTGCCAACAGTGATGTGTGGGTCAGACAATGGCTCAAGAAGATGCAGGGAGGAATGTTGGAGGCGGAATGCACACTAAATGGATAACTAATCCAAAGCTGCGATCACTGTACGGTGAGTATCCCAACTGAGGAAAAGTGTTTTTAGTGATTTATATAGGTGAGGGTATCGTGGATGAAGCAGAACAAATTCTCGCAATATAAACAATTCTTAATGTTTGCAATATCCTCGAAGCTCACCAGTGTCCTCCGCTTTACGGCAAATCGTGGACATGTAAGGCATTTACATTGCCAGAAACACATCGACAACGACAAGCACACAACTGCGTATCACTCATGCAATAGCATGATACTACCCGCACACATCTAGTCTGCACCGAATATAAACGCAGCTTCTCGCTTGATGGAAAATATATATGTTACTGATTAAGGAGAGGATTCCGTTGTTTATTCGTTCATCGAGCTTGGCAATTGGTTGCAAACGTTTCGCCACAATACGACGTAGTACTGCAACGCAGTGATACGCAGACTGCAAGCTCGGCGAACAAATTAACGACTGAATCGTCAATCCGAGTTACCAGTATTCCTAGACAGTATGTAGACAACTTTATCGATCCTGTGAGGTGACAAGTGTACGGCGACCGGAACCTAGCCTAAATTTGGCGTGGCGATCAATGTAGTAGAACGAACTGTAAGACGATGGTGCCGAACGAAAGACCGCATGATCAATCTTTGAGATTCAAGGTGTACAATCAATAGGTAAATAAATACTATAGACGGATGAGTAGGGGTGAGCCTCAGCACGGCCGAAGGAGAGATGATAAGGCATTCGGAGCAGGACGGTTAAAGTGAGTCGGGAAGACAATCGAAGCAGCAGACAATATCAGCCGCATTCATGAAACTCAGGACTCATCGCAGATCAAGGGGTTCATGTATTGCATAAAATCGATGTCTAACTGTCGAAGCAGATCGCTGATTTAAAGTCGTAATGTCTCAGCGATGTGGTGAATATCGAAAAACTACTCCAAATGTCAGCCTAAAATTTCAGAGTAAAGGAAACATTCATGTACAGTGAGTGTTGAAGGATCCTGCAGCCTTACTAATGTCAGCGACGGTGAAGTGTTACGGGTCAGCTTTCCAGCGAAAAATGATGACAGCCTCCATGCTCGCCCAAACACGTTTCCTCAGCTATGCATGTAGGCTATCACAATAGTTAACCTCCTGTTAAAGCGAGATGAATCTCTCGGTGGGATCCGATCACTACACACATGACAAAACGGGAAAATTCTCATACTCACTAATCCGAAAGAACAGTAATTAGAGACATTATCTATACGGTAATATTTTGGTCAGTTCAAGGGAATGCAGAGTAAAACCAGGAGCCACTTGAGTAAGACACGGTTGTACCAGTGGTTGGTTGTGGATGTGTTCACGAAACCGGGCTGTTCTGCACCGATAGCTGTGAAAAACAACCAGATCAAAGAGTACCAAGTAACAGGTTATTTCTGTATTCCCAGACAGGAATAAATGTGCCCACAGCGGAGGTATGTGACTTATGGCAACAAGCTCAAAGATGTTGTCAATAAGCAATGAGAATGACCTAACTAACGGCGTACCACAATGGTCAACTCATGTGTGAATGAGAGGCAATACAGGAGCACGGAAGCGATATGACCTAACCGCTTAGACTGGAGTGCGGAATGAAGTGCACATGGTGTGTGTACCAGCCAACGAAACATATGTGCACAACTCGTCCGCATTATGCACGAGCGGTCACAGGACAACCGCCAAACCCCAAAATGACTGTAATTTATAAAAGCCAAAGCATTAGTGATGGAATCCAAACTTGGTGCTCACGAGAATGCTTATCGGTCTGGTTCAGCGTAAGGCCCGCATCTGCTGTCATTCACAAACATGTTCCTTTGCACCCCAATTGGGTACTAACGCGATTTTCACTGAAAACCGACCCTGTCAAATACATACCCTTGTGGGATGTTAAGGTTCCTTAATTATATTACCGCCACAAGTAGGTCTGATCGTGTCGAATGCATGGGTTAGTTAGAAGAAACGTCAACTGAACCAAGTACGTTCGGCTTAAGTAGTTATCTCCAGATGGCCCTCAAAGAGCAAGGACGGTTCGAGGGAGAGAGCTTACGATGTATTTGAAGTCAGCTGCAAAGAGGCTTTAATGACAGAAAAAGTAATGCATCACAGGTGAGGACTGCGTTGTTAAATTCGAAGGGTAAATATTGTTGGGCACAGCCACGGGCAGGGAGATTGAAAGCAGTCACATCATAAGTAAAATAAAAACAATGTATTTCGAAGGCTCTATCATGTAAATGATTTTTTGCGCAGGCGGAAAGCTGTTTCAAAAACAAGCTGGAAAGGTTGCATGGCAGATGAAAATCAAAGCAGGTGATGTTTTCCCATGGTTGGGATCAGATTATGGGTATGGCCGCTTTGATCTAATACCAGAATAATTTTTTTTACTAACGAGCTGGGATAACGTATCCTGAAAGCAAGCACAGTGCTATGGACGCTGAGTTGAAGGAAGATGTCTTTTTTACGACTGCACTGAAGAATTCCGGAGACGATGTTGTAACGTTCCAAGAACCATGGCCTGATAAGAACCCTGTACCTTCGTCACGCGTGTCAGAACCGAGGAGATACAAGTAGGGACACGAAGGTCATGTAACAGATCACATTGCTAAACCGATCTAATAATGCTTATGTGAAATTCAAGAGCCGCAAGGTGAATTGTCACATATCCGCTGAAGAGGAATGCCATTGTACAGAGCCGCCGAGCTTCTTACCATCAGCCGAGAAACATGTGTACAATGATGGATAGAACATAGTACGCACTTACCAATTGATGAGTATTTTGAGCAGGACTTTGAGGCCATCTCGTAGTGGTTCCAATTCCGTTTGTGTAGAACACTGGTGAACCAGCTGAAACAAGCAATGCAAGAAGTGATTAGACATAGTGCTGTGGTTAGAGCGAAAGTCAGATGTGCGGCAATGACTCCATTGTATAGAGAAGCACGAGTGTTGCAGGACAATGTAAGGGTCACAATGATGCGGGTTGCGCCTGCAGCGTGAATGAACTGCGCATGAATAAGAAATAATGGCACCGAATCTGATGCGCGAGCACTTGGCACGCATACCAATCTCCATCTACGGACACAGCGGACAACTACCCGGCTTCGATACGCATGAAGTTCAGCGAAATAGTTGGGGTGCATTGAAAGATGAATGAACACAGGTAGCAGGAGAAAGTGTGTTCACTCACTGTGAACAAAACGACACGATAACAACAGCAGGCAAGCGATGAAAGAGGCCAACAGAATATCGTCGTATACTATGGAAATTTCGGGAAGGTGGCGCGGTGCCGTGGTAGACAATGCACTGATGTCAGAGCCCGATGTACGGCAAAGTTCGAAAGTGATCGTCAACGTGTGTGAACAACATAACAAGAATGAAGTTAACCGAGAGCTATTTATCAATGCAGTTAACTGGACCAAGGTTAGTTAATTAGCTGGGAAAAGACAGCGATAGCAAGCTCGCTGTGGGAAGACTAAGAAAGCCGGGGAGTTGCGAAATAGCACGTCATTATGACAGGAGACGCATAAACTGAACTCTTAGCAACAATAACATCATAGCAACTACTTTTGCCACCCGGGACGACGGCAAAGTGTTCGCCCTGAGTGTGAGGGCAGAATAAAGGCGGTGAATGTCACACACAATCGGCTCAGGGTAAAGTACACATTCGTTTTCGATGAAATGAATGATTGGTTGTGACAGTTAGGTAAATGTGGCGAAAGTGAGCACAACAATGGGACAAGTAAGGGGATCGCTGGGAGGAGAAGGTTTGCACACGGGTATGACACATGGCGCAAAGATGGTGTTGCTGGTCATACAAAGTGGCATTAACATATCCCACCCTCAGTGTATCCGGATCCGTTGCGCTTTAAATTCGGTATCGAAAAACCGACGTTACCAGAAATGCCGGCACGGGCGGACCCCCCCCCCCCCCATGCAGCGCCAATGGGCATCGATTGCATACCCATGATGATCGGTATTCCGTGACTCACTAGATAGCGGTCCACTTGAATCCTAGTGACCGGCAAGTGACAACATGGAGACCGAAAGACACCGGATACCGTACTATTGATATAGAATCAGAATTCAGTTGAGTGAATAATGTATGGATGACAGATTACATCTTGCAAAGTAGCACTGAGTCATGTTAAGTAGAATTCAGGTATACAGGCAAATGATGTTGATCATGGCAATGCGATATGTATTAGTGACTATGGTAGTTAGATACTATGCGATACCTCGAAGCACATGATAGCAGATGTGTGTTAATTACAAGCACCTTTCCGGAATGATGGCGGTAACTGCAGCTAGCACGCCAGCTTGAAATCGACGGAAGTGTCACCAAAGAAAACGAGTAATATGACATACGTTGCTCGCGGTACATGAACGGAGGATTACCAGGAGACAAAATACACCTAGGCTACGTGGTGAGCAATGTGTCTGTGTGGCAATAATTTATCCGTTCACGAAATTGCAGAATTGCCGAAAAGCTCTACACAGTCAACTCACTGTGGAAAAGAACTTGTCCACCACCGCATGAAAGCGGACACACAAGAAAACGAATCCCTCTCCATGCGCTCATGCGGGTACGCATGAGGTTGCCAACATCTCGGGCATCATAAAGGAACAATAAGAACGGATTGCTGCGCAACCGACATTGATGATATAGTGGCAGATGCACCCAAAAAATTCACTGAAGTGAGGCATTGATGAATCGAAGCAATGCGCATGGAAGCAAGTCCACAGGGGACGGTTCCATGGATGGCCGATTTACTTTACTTGAACCGCAGGCCATACCTGCATTTAAGTTCTACTGTCAAATTCTATATCTTTCATTGCTCTTAAATGATAGAACAATTGTAAAACCAACTACTTTTCACAATTCGATTATGTTGTATGAAATGATAAGGCCACGTAATCGGCCTGTGTCTCGCAAGGTCGAGAAATATAATATTTACTGTTTACTTAGTAAACCACGGTAAGTAGTGTCCAACAACGGAATAATCCGTGGTCTATCTAAGCGATGCTCAGATTCTACCCATCGTACAGATGCGTTAGTGATATGAAAGTTACGCCCATGCTAACACCAGTTGCTTATAAAACATATACATTATCGAGAGTACTTATAGCGTAGGCCTCAAATGACTGTGGGAGCAACAAATCGAGTTAATGAACAGTGAAGCTAAGTTGTGACCTAACTCAAAAGTTTTTGACAAACGCTAGCAATCACGAGACATACGCGGAAGCATTACCAGAAGACGCTAAACTATGAGCAGGGGACCGATTAGTGCTGGCGTCCAACTACCTATGAGCACCATGTGGTGTCGAGGTGTATCCAAGTTGGGCCGGTTACCTGCGCTGTCCTCAAATTATGTGTGCTGTGTTCACCGGGCTTTAAAGCAATGGTGTGTCTAGGATGCAAGATATGGGACAAAATATATGAGACTTACGGCACTGAAGGAACAGAATCAGAATAGTAAAGCATAGCAAACGACGGCGATTAAAATACCACCTACAGTTTCGCTAGCCTGGAAACCTGGTAAATTGTCTCAGTGATTTTCACTGAGTTTTAGGCATTAATTGAGGGTCAAGATCTATGAAACCAGACTGAACAGGCATCAAAACACTTAGTCGTGAAATGTTGACGGTGTGAGAGTATAGTAAGGTTGAACAACGCAATGTTAACTTTTCGGTCGGAGTTGTGCACCATCCTAGAATGACTAAATTCCTCTAGCGTCACCCGAACATAAACGCCGTAGTGGAAAAAGCCAAGAGAAAAGCAATACTTTATTCAGACGGAATGACAGACAAATACTTGATAGTGACAATGACGATCACATCACTTATCTGCGCTTGTTACGGAATTGCATGAGGTGTGATTTCGACTGACCGCTGCCCATGATGGCCTTGTATTGCTCACACTGCACACCACCAGTGCATGGTTCACCCGTGTATGGTTTTTTGGCGAGGCTAAGCAAACTTGCATCCACCACAGAGTTTGGACACAGGACAGTCGCAATAATAAGGAAGACCATAAGTTGGAAATGCATTGCTCAAGCTTTGTCCGACCTGCTTACTGCGGCGTGTTTTATTCTGTGAACCACCAATCGGACGTAGGTTGCAAAACAGGCGACATGTTGACAAGCGCATCGATCAATAGCACCGTGGCGCATATCGTGTACGAACGTGTGCGCGTAAGAAACCGTCGTGAAAGCGGTCCAACTAACGATAAGTCACTTCAAAATTAAAACCTACCCGACCAGCGGCCCAGAATCTAACTGCCCCAAATACCTGGGCTCCTGAGCATTAAAGAGAAAAAGCAACATGATATAGAAAAATGTCAGTTACATGCAAACAAGTAGAGACATTGTAGAAAATAGGTCCACTAGGCATCTGGCGTCACTATTCCATCTTTGTGAGTCAATCCACCCAAGAGGATGAGCTTTGTTCCACACAGAGGTACTTCTTGCAAGGTGGGCAACAGATGTCGCCCTTCACCTTCTTGCATGGATTGTTTTTGTAAGACATTCCAGGATTTTGATTGTTGTACCTAGAGTGCCTTTCCATGCAAACAACACTGATGTGATTAGGCGATAACCCCGGGGAAATCTCTAGAAACTGGTTGCCTGGGGTCATCCGTTGAGAGCAGGGTTCTTTTGGCTAGTAGCGGTGAGCTGATGTCCTGTACCCACCAATAAGTTGCAGGCACAGTTTCTGAATATATCTGGTGAAATTAAGGGTGTTTTTTGAAACAGCTTGTCGCTTTGAAGTATACAAGATAATACGATAATATATATAACTGGCCAACGAAAAATTTTCTACGAAAAGCCGCCGGGGCTAGTGGTAATGAAGACAATGAACAATGAATTTATACGGGTTAAGAAGCGTTGCTTTACAAGTTCCGTTAGATAGTTGGTGGGGATATCAACATAACAGTAATGATGATAAGGATAGTAAAATAGTTAATAAGTTAAATATGAAAATAAGGACTTATCGTTTGCTTCGCTGCAGTCATGCGATCCACTTAGATTCACAACACCCACAGTTAACAACAAATAATTCCAGGGTAAACTCCAGGTGTAGGATGGAGACATAGTGTTAAGTAACAAAGTGTAAGTGGATGAATGCATCGTCCAACCATCTTTTAAATATTGTTAGTGTCGGTGCAGAAACGACCGATTCTGGGAGAGCATTCCACGGGTGACAGACACGGATGGAAAAGAAATTTCTGCGGCACTCCAGACGACTGTATTGTTCTGCGAGTTTTAATGAGTGGCCCCTCAGGTTTGTATTGCTGCTGAGTTGCAGTAAAGGGCGGCACACATGATGTGGATCTCGCAGAATCAAGTATGTCATAATCAGGTCGCCTCGTAGTCTGCGATAGCTTCCACTGAACAATCCTAGTCGTCGCAGCCTCTCCTGGTAGGACCGATTGCGCATTCCAATTACGTTCTTAGATGCCCGCCGTTGTGTCTGCTCCAGTGCATTAAGGTCGTGTTTCAGCCATGGATGCCAGACTTGAATTGCATATTCGACATGGGCGCGAACATACGCACTGAGCATTTGTCGAAATATGGAGCTGTTTATTTGTCCAAACGCCCGCCTCAACAGCCCGACGTGTTGGTTCCCGGTCTTCGAGGCCTTTTCGGATTGCCTGGAGCAACCCAAGTTATCTTGAACCAGGACACCCAAGTCACGTTCGAGAGTTGATTGTTATAATATATTCGTTCCGAACCAGTATGAGTAGCTGCCCTGATGTCGGATAGAAAGCACCTTGCATGGCCGGTGAAGGTCATTTTTAGTCACAGCCACCCATACATTTATTGTAGTCCTTCACCAGCTGTGGCATC